CTAGGGCTAAGCGGAGACCGTTGTGGTGGATTGTATCAAGGTGAGCAAGAAGAGAGGTTGAGGCAGAGGATATGGCATCCACAATCTAGAGTGGAGAGAATCAAAGTAACATGAATATGGAGGAGATATGGTCTCGCCAGGACAATTTGGAATCAAATATAACGCCTAGGAATTTGCCAGAAGACCGGTATTGGAGTGGAGCATTATATAAGAAGAGTGGGGGTTTGGGGACCGTACGTAAGCGAGAGAAAAGGATGGGGAAAGATTTAGAGGTAGAGAAGCGAAAGCCATGGTTGGTGGCCCAAGAAGTTACTGATGTTATTGCAGACTGAAGGAATTGACAGAGATCTGGTATGGATGTGCCAGATGCATAGATGGTTAAGTCATCAACATATAGTGATGCTCTGGTTTCTGGTGGTAGGACTGAGACTATGTTATTTACAGCAAGAAGGAATAAAGTGGTACTAAGCACACTTCCTTGTGGGAAGCCTTCGAATTGAGGAAAGGATGATGACGTGGAAGTGGCAATCTTGACCTGGAAAGTACGTTTAGAAAGGAAGGATTTAATGAAAACGCCCATGTTTCCACGTAAACCTAGGGAGGACAAATGTTGGAGGATATGGTATCGCCATGTGGTGTCATATGCTTTTTCTAGATCAAAAAATATGGCTAATACGGATTCATGGCGTGCAAATGTCGATGTAATGTATGTCTCGAAACGGGCAATTGGATCTGCTGTACTTCGGGCACGTCGGAAACCAAACTAGGAAGGGGAAAGGGATTATGAGATTCTAGGTACCTCATTAAACGGAAGTTAACCATTCGTTCTAGTAGTTTGCACAAGCAGCTAGTTAGAGCTATGGGGCGGTAATCTTGGGGTAGGGTACCTGATTTATTGGGTTTCAAGAAGGGTAGGATGAGAGCATCTCGCCAATGAGGATAATTTCCTGACGTCCATATGTGGTTGAAAATAGTTAAAAGGAAGGATAGAGAGGAAGATGGGAGGTGTCGGAGCATACGATAGTGAATACCATCAGGGCCTTCATGAGTGTTGCGGCACGACTGTAATGCAGCGTTGAGTTCAGAAGAAGAAAAAGGAGCATTATAGGACTCATCAGAGGATAGGGTGAAGGTAATAGGGGTGCGTTCCTTGATGGTTTTAATGGAAGAAAAGTGTGGGGAAAGGTGAGAGCCACTACTGACCTGGCTGAAATAGTTGCCCAGTTCATTAGCTACTTCTACAGGCTCAGAGATATGAATATCTCGAATATGGAGGACGGGTGCAGGATGGGGGGATGTTTGCCTGATAGTTTATGGATCCGTCGCCAAACAGCTGAAATTGATGTAAAGTGTGCCAGTCAGCTCTATCAAAGCACCAGCGTGGAGGATTAGATAGTGGTACATATGAAGTAGGAGAAAGGAGTATTGGGAAGTGGTCACCATAGGGGAAGTGGTCTAGAACTGACCAATGGAAATCTAGATGTAAAGTAGGAGAGCATAGAGAGAGGTCAAGGCATGAAAAGGATTGTGTGCGCATGTCAAAGTGTGTGGGGCGATTTGAATTAAGAATAATTAGGTTATTTGTGAAGAGGAAGCGTTCTAGAGATCGGCCTCGGGAGTTGGTGGTAGAGTCACCCCACAGAGTGTGGCGGCAGTTGAAATCACCAACTATGAGGAAAGGTGGTTGGAGTTGGGAAATTAGAGTCTCAAAGGCAGTAAAGTCAATGGGATGGGATGGGGAGAAGTAGACTGAAATCACTGTGATCCAGCGGCGAAGAAAGATGCGAATAGCTGTGCACGGGACAGAAGTTTGTATGGGAGGTATGACATAAGGTGTTTTATGATGGATAAGTATAGACGAGACATAAAGGGAGTGTGGGGAAGAGATAAAATGGTAATTAGGAATTGGAATAGGAGGGTGTGTGAGGAAAGTCTCTTGGAGGCAGATAATAGATGGATTATAAGAAGCAAGGATATGACGTAGGTCTGATCTATGAGAGCGGAAACCGCGAATATTCCTATGTAGGAGAGCTATATCCTAGTTGATTTATGAATGATAACACATTTACGTGTTGGGGAATTTGAAGGGGAAGGAGCTAGGGGGTGTAAAGGAGGGATATTAGGAGGTAGGGAGTCTGGAGAAGGGCATGTTTTGCCATGAGTGATTCTCGTGTGTATCCTGGAGGGAGTGCAAAGGATAGAGGGGATGGAGGGAGGGGAGAATGTGCCTATAGTTGGGGTTGAAGGGGGTGGGTTGTGTTGGGAGGGAGTAGATGTGTGGGGAGTATTAGTGTTAGGAGGATGAATATCAGAAGGATGGATAGTTGAAGTTGAAGGGGATGTGTTGTCTTGGGAGGGATTAGGAGGAAAGGGTGTAGGGGTGCTGTGAGTAAGAGGGGGATGCATATCAGGAGGATGGGTATTGGGAGGATGGATATCAGTGGTGGTTGGGATTGAGGGGGCTAGGTTGTGTTGGGAGGGAGTAGGAGGAAGGGGTGTAGGGGGAATATTAGTAGGAGGGGTATGAATATCGGCAACCACTTCAAGTGTGGAAGGAGCATGAGTTATGGGATTTTGTGTTTCAAGCATATAGCTTTGAATGTCATCCATTGTTTCTGCAATGGAGTTTGTTGGAGAGGTTTGTGAGAAGGTAATTGTTTCTGCAATGGAATTGGTTGGAGAGTTTTGTGGAATAAAGGTTTTCTTATGAGGGGGGGAAGAGGAGACTGGTGTCTCAGGAACAAAGGTATAGGTAGGTGGAGGTGATTGTGCTGTAGGGGAAGAAGGGTTAGAACGTTTAGTCTAACTACTGCGGGTAGTGCGGGGAGGGAGAGGGGTTGGTGTTGGGGCTGTAGTTGAGATAGGAGCTGTGGTTGAGATTGGGGTGTCTGGGTTTAGAGTGGCAAAGGAATTGGTCTGAGGGATGTAGAATGTAGAAGTGGAAATGGGGACATTTTTGGGTGGAGGGGGAAGGGCTGAGCGAACGATGTTGCTAGAATATGGAGTATGAGAGAAACCTTGTCGACTAGCTTCATGTCTGGCTTCATGTAAAGTGAGACCATTTTTGTATCTTAGAGTTGCTACCTCAGATTCAAATTTGTAAGTGGGACAGCCTCTATAAAATACATTATGGGGGCCGCCGCAGTTAGCACATGTTCGTGTTTGTGCTGAGCAGTTTGATCGATTATGACCAGGTTGGGCACACATGGGGCATCGGTCTATGGAACGGCAATGTTTGGCAGGATGTCCAAAGCACCAACAGTTTTGACATTGACGGGGAGGGGGTTGGTATGGTCGAACAGGGAGGGATTGTCCACCAATGTAGATACGTAAGGGAAGGTCATGTGTACAGAAGGTAATTTTGGCAATATTGGTCGGATTCTTTCGTTGACCTTTAGGAGGAATGGTGTAGCAATGTACTGATTTCACATCTTGGTCTTTGAGGCATCCTAATAAGTCTTCTCCACAGTCTAACCAATCTTTGGTATCGACTGGGCAGTTTGCTGGGGAGAGAGAGACAGTTCCGGTACAGGTATTAAGGGTTGGATGAGGTTCTGCAGGAATGGGGTTGCCAGAATGATCAGTTAAATTTGACAGTGCTATAGATTCAGTTTCTGATCTGACTGTTACCAGACGGGAGCGATCGCGTCTGGTATAAAAAGGGACTCTGCCTACTTGTTTTTGGAGGCATTGTTGAAAGAGAAGAGTGTTGCCTGAGTAAGGAGCTGTAGCAGGGATCACGAAAAATCGGTCCCATTTAGCTTGGCTAAACAGAGTATTTAAGATATCTGTAGGGTTGTTGGTGGTGGATGGTCAGGGATGTGTGGAAGAGGGAGTATTACGGAATGGAGAATAAGGTTGCAAGGTAGTAATAAGGGAGGATTAGTTGTTTGATGAAGGTTGCAGGGGTAGAGTTGAATTTGAGGAAGTTGGGTAGGTAGCAATGTCTTCTGGAGATTGATTCTCTGCTTGGGTGGGTAATGCACTAGTAGGCATTGAGGAGTGGGTAGTAGTTTCAGTGTTCGGAGCCGTGGTCAAAGGAGAGCCTGGGTTGGGGCTATTTGATAAAGGGGCTAGCCTCAGCCTCTAATAAAGGGATTACATTTTCATTACTGGTCATGGGGAACCTGGATTATGTAAATAGGCCTAAACGGTCCACCTCCTTTCGCTACTGAAGGTAAGGGCTAGATTAGTCGGGAGTACCGTGCCCATAGTTCCCGCAGGTCATTCAGGACTGGCACTAGGTCAGCCTTTCATCCTCTCAGCACGGCTCTCACACCTTAGGAAGTAGATAGTAGAGGGGGATGGAGAAGAGACGGATACAAAAGCTGGAGAGGGAAAAGACCATGCAAAAATTAGTTGAGTCGAGGGCTGAGGCCCTAGGCAGGGGAGTTCCCTGTATTGGGTCTCAGTCTTCGTCTCCTAAGCCCCCCCACGACAACAACGTACAAGGGATTGGGGGAGCTGAGGTAGAAGAGACCCTAACTTATAGCATGTCTTCATTTCCTAAGCCCTAAGACAACAGGAAGGGGATTGGGTGGGGATATAAATTAGAATACATTCAGTTTTGTATGTTTTTCTGGTTAAAAGTTACACGGTGCTTTAAAATATGGGTGGTGCAATAAAAAAAACATATATATGAATTCTCATGTTCAAGCTAAGTACTTTTACTTATTTCAAATAAACATTTCAAACTTCAATAGAAAATACTCATTCTTCCAAGTCATAAGGGGCGATCAAAACTGAAAACAGCAACAAGTAGTTACTTGTATAGCCATTGTGATAAAAAAAAAATATTTATTCAAGAAATTAAAATATTACAGAGAATATACTACTAAGTAAGATTTTTGAATTTACCATTTCTAAGTAGAATCTGAACAAATGGCTGCAATATCAGTTTTGTCATCCCACTTTCAATATAATCATCATTTACTATGGAATACATCTAAGCAAAACATTGGTAGGAAAACAGTCAAGGGAATTAAAATAAAACTTCACAGTTTGTCAGTAATGATCCTTTATAATAAATGTCTATGTAGAGATTTCACTTTATAATGTTATATCATTTGTGCTATCATTAATATTGAGACCAATAAGATAGATTGTAAATCTGACTCGTCGATTAAAATACTAAATGACTGATACAACTGATATTTTGTTCTAAAGCATGTACTGAGAGGCACAAATATTCCTCAACTAAAAGGATGTATTGGAATCTTGTGACAACCAAATTGTGTGATTTGTGTGTGTTGAACTTTGAGTTAGTGTTAATCCATGTAAGAGCCTAAATATGTAAAACCCTATGGTCTTTTGTATGACAAGCAAATGGAGTCTTTAAAAAAGTCACTTTTTACCTTCTCTTTTAAGGAATTTAAGAATTGTTTTACAAAAGCTTTAGTGAAAAAAGTAAGATTAATTTGGGAGAAAATATAGATAAAATATTCTTCGAACAAAAAACTAATGAACCAACATCTGAAAATAGTTTATCATACAGCTCACTTAAGCTACACCCTGGAATGACATGGGCCCTTAAAATGGGCTTCCTGTGTCTTATACAAGCCTTCAAAACATTTCCAGCTGCACGACTAATATATTCAGATGAGTTTTATTTGGTTTGGAACTGCCACAAATAAGTACAATTACTCATGTAAACATTTGATATTTACACAGAATCATAAAAATCAAACCTATGTATACTGATAAACAAGATAGAATAGCACATTTCTGATACACTGTAATTAATAATTTACTACAGAGTCCACTTATGACTTCCGCCCAACTCTTCTGCAAAAAGATGATTCACTGACATATCATACGTTTAAGAATTTTTTCCACTTTCACTTCACTTTTTCATTTACTGTCGACTTGCACCACTCAGATGTGATTTGCCACATCAAAACACTGGCTAAAGTCACAAACGTAAATAAGGAGAGGTCAGGAGTCTTTGCTCAATCCTCTAGCACTGGAGAAGCAGATGATTATGCTCACCCACCAGGAATCTTTTCAAGTTCCTGGAAGAGATGCAGAGTCTAATGCTCATCCATTTTCAAGTTATCTTCAGTAGTTGGCGCTTCATGAAATGTTTGATTTTCCTGTCAATGATAGTAAAACAATATGCTGACTTCAGACATTTCCTTCATTTGCATTATAAAGTCTTTATGAAATAGATCCTTAATTTCAAAAGAAACTGATCACCTACAGAAGGCTGAAAAGTGATCACCGTATAAACCTGAAACAAAATCAGAAAAACCATATAAAAAACTATCCTCTGCATATCTTTAATCATAGTGTATTGAAAAACAATCATGAATAATACATTCCTATCTTTTAGTGAACATTTCTATTAACAAAATTAAACCAAAAATGAACCAAAAAAAAAAAAACAGGAAAAAATCCTAATTTCTACATTGAAATATGTAATTTATACAAATGCAAGTATATTTTCAGAAGAAAGCAAATAATGAAAATTGGGACCTACCACCACTGCTTTAACGCATCTTGTATTTGTGAGATTCCCTGCATTCTGACAGTTCCCCATGGAATTCCATTTCTACTTGGAAATCTAAGTCACGATTGTTACGCTCATTTGGCTTCATGGTAAAGGTTCCAAAAATCTCTTCTCCATGTTTCACTGTCAGGTAATCATCAAAGTAGAAAACGGTTTGCTTCCAATGTGTGTATCGCGCCTCTGGAGCTGAAAGCAATACAATTTGTTATCTATCTACAGAAAATATTTTGTAACTAGAAAAAGGGGGGGGGGGGGGAGATATCAAATATTTAATTGGAATGGAATATAGCTGTATATTTACTGAAGAGGCCACATCATATCAACTGTAAATAAATTCCTGATGAACTCAAACAGGTGGTCCTTTGTGGGTTATAGAAATTTTCTACAACCCTTTATTTCCAGACATGCCATCCCCAGACTAGCCATAGGTCTGGAACATGCTTCATGCCTCTTATCATGTCAAGCTAATCACAGTTTATAGTCCTCCTTTTACACATACTTCACACAGGTGGCTGGATACTTTGCATGTCTGTGACAAAGCCACATTTTTTACTTTTCAAGTATTTAGCCCATCTGTGGCATTGGCTTAAATATCAAACTAATCAGATAATCAATTGTGGGGAAAACTGAATTAATGTATAAGCCACAATAAATTACTCAAAACCTATTGACAGACACTAATATCATGTTTACATAACATATCAAACAAGCTGTAACTGAGAAATATTGAAACAATGAAAAAGGTGGTGGTAGAAAGTGATTATATGGGGAAGAGAAAGGGAGTAGAGTGGGACAGAACAATAGAATAAGTTGCACATACCTGTAGAGAAACCAGTCCTCTTATGACACTTTGTAAATTCAATATTGAAATAAGCGATAAGAGCATGTACATAATCATTCCTTCGGACCTGATAAAGAAAAATAATATGTATGATAGTGCTGCATGGGTGCAAATTTCAGATTCTGATGTTTTATTCCAGTTATATTCAGTTACACTTTGTACTTAAATTAAAAAGTTCTTACCTGTAGGTGAAATGGTGAGCTGAATGCTAAGTCTTCCTTCTTCACTGTATAAAGATCAACTTCTTTAACTAGACAAGAATTTGTCACAACCTGGTTGAAAGAAATGAAAAAGTCATAAGATTGTTGTAATCTGAACCACCAACTAGAATGTTGACAAAAGTACCAAAGAGTAAGTCACAATTATCCTGTAAAAATCCTGAAAAAATACCTAAAAACTTGCGTAAACACTGATTACAACCATGGAAAAATAATGACAAAAGCTGCTGGTACCTAAGAAAGTAACTATTTTTCACAGAAAATTTTCCCTTTTTTTTCAGACTTTACTAACCTGCTTTGCTTCCACTACATCCACCAGGGGTTCTGTCATGGCTACTTCACGAATGCAAGACATGTCAAAACCATATACACTATCCCACCAGTTGATTTTGTCATCCTTGTACTGACGGTCCTGTGAAAAGGTGGTATATATGGTTAATAAAGATAAAAAAAAAAAAAAAGGGAAATAAAAAGTAAAAATGGCTATGAATGGAATGGAATATAGCTGTATATTTACTTTGCTACATCATGAATAGAGGATTAGGAATAAGAGGATAGTATTAACCCAACAATGATGGCTTGGTCTTCATATTGTGATGGGGATACAGCTGTCCCCGTTGACATGACTACTGGTTGACCTATCCCTTCTTGAAGTGTGACATGGCTGATATCAACTATTATTTCCCTTAATTGTTACTCTAATGGGGTTTTACAACATATAATACTGGTCTGATATATAATTGTCCCCCACGCCATTGAATATCAGAGAAGGGGCCGCATGCACCAAATAACCAAATGTTCCTTTTTTTTTCTTCTTGCACCGAGTTATTTACCACCTGGATAAAGCAAATCAAAAGACAAATACAGACTTTTGAAAATGGCTATAAAGCCAAAAAGTTTAAACAATATAACTTTTCAAAGGGGAAGCACAGTCTTGACACCGCTCACGGTTGTTCATGTACACCCGGCCTACGTGCCACATGCCCAGGATGTTGGCCACTTACGTAACCTATTGCACGGGGTTTTCAGCTCCATGATTTTCATAATGAAACCGGATCTAAGGGGTAAAGGGAGCTGCCACACTGAATTTTTGACAAGTATTTTTTTAAATGCTCGAAAAATTGAAATAAATCTCCTGTAATCTAGAAGGTTTTGGCAATTCCAACATAATATTTCTGCTGAATACGCAAAAATAAAAGAGTTACGACTATCTCTACCCCCCACTCCTGCTCCGATTGCTGCTTTATCGTGTTTGTGCAAATGTACTCACCAAGTTATTTTTTCTGAATTTTTTCAATTTCTTTTGATATTCTCTTGTAACTAGCTGGCAACCCTGCTTACTGTATCAGCTGATAGCCACGACTAGGAGACAAGGCTGGGAGTTACCACCCAAGAGTCAGAGGGTGAGGCTGCACATTGCCTGCCTGCCTCGACACCCTCCATAGACATACCCCTGATGTGCCCTCATTGTACACTAAGAGGACAACTAATGATAGATGTAATTCCTGTAAATGATGATGAGAAAAACATCTCACAATCACAGCTGCAGCAGTTTTTTATTCATATGAAATGCATCACAAGGTATTGTACAGGCACTGCAAAGCATGTGAATACAAGCCTGTACTTCTACAGTCATGTGGAGTTATTGCCATTAGTACCTTGCAAAAGGGGGGAACCAGGTACCTGCTACACTTCATAACATGTGAATGCCACATAATGCATCAAGATTGACACAGATCAGAATTCTAAAAAAGGAGGAAAAAGTATCCACAACTTCGAAGCCTGATATCTCAAAACTACACCTCTGTCAACATTTTATGTTCCTCCTTAACTACTCAGACGATTATAATGGGGTTTGGATCACTTGAAAGCTGAATAAATTTGTGATTTATTTTCTACAAAGCTATTTTCATTTTAGGTGATAGAAGTCCATTTATCATATTCATATTCATAAGCCTGAACATTTAGAAAAAAAAAATCCCATCAAACTAAGAGGAAATTGCAAAATCCGTGCCTCACACCTGAACTAACAAGGGAGAAGGTCAACAGGCCCCCATTACACTTTACAGCACTTTCAGTACCAGTATACAGGTTTGCTAGTAATCTAATAATACTTGTTGGGATTACTTTGTTAGGATCTCCCAGCCTAATTCCCAATACCCTATATGAAATACCTTCTTGGTTGATGTAAGCTGCAAGCAGCTGATGGCCAACTCTCAAGAACGCACTACAATGACTTGAAGTGCCAGGATAGAGGCTACTGTGGAATGTTGTACTTCAAGTGACCTGTCATGTGTAAGTTAATGAGTAGAGAAGAGTGGGAGAGGAGAGATGGAACTACATTTTCTTTCTATAATGAGGAAAAAGAAAAACACTAACCTCAATCGCAGAAACAAAAAGAGTTGCACGATCAGGGAAGAGCATTCCATCTGTGGCCAGCCACTTATCACGAGCATAGAGGACTGTGTCTAACATTGACTCATAAAAGAGGCAGTAGCCCATCCACTCACTGATGATTATATCCACTTTCTCTACTGGCAAAGTTACTTCTTCTACTTTGCCCTGAATGATTTCCACTACTGTAAACAAAACAAATATTAAATAAAGATGGCACAGTATCATAATAAATAGATAAATAGATATAAAGATAAAGATATAGATATAATGGCAAATTTGTTTACATTTACAGAACAAATGCACCTCAAAAAATGAACTCACCATTATCAAGATTATTAGCAGTAACAATTTTCTTAGCATGTTCTACAATATTTGACATTTCAATTCCATAGACTTTGGCAGCACCAGCCTTCGCAGCAAACATTGACAAAATGCCTGTACCGCAACCAACATCAAGAACAGTCTGAAATAATTTTGTATCATACATAAATAGCAGAAAAATTCAAATGACTTTGCAAAATAAAAATCAAATATGAAATATGCTTATTCAATTGTAGCACAAATTTACAGATTTCTTAAATCTCTATGTCCAAGGAGAAATATATAGTCAGTAATGCTAGAACATCATCTCACTGAACGAGAAAGGTAATGGGCCAGAGCCATGAATAATACTTTCCTACTCTAAATTTGCTATGTACTTCAGCCTCCTAAAAATGTTTGTACAAAATATCAGGTCAATTACTTACTATGTTGTCATAAAGGATACTAAAGATTAGATTTTGACAATATAGGACTGGCCCTCATTTTTAATAACCATTTACCAAAAAATTAGCCAAAATAGCTAAATCTTGGTAAACCAAATGGGTTGAAAAATAATATCAAAATCCAATACCTATCCTCAACCCATAGCTTACCTTGCCCTTAAACAAATGTCTGTTGTGGTACATTGCATTTCGGTAAGTAAGCGTTCGAACTTCGTCCTTCAACATTTCCTGTCAAAAAAGTATCCCAATGAGATTCAGATTATCAAAACAAATGGAGCACAGGACCAAAACAATCAATCATATGCAAAACACTTCTAGAGGAACATAAAACACTGGTTAACTTACTTCATGGATGCCAAAATGAGCATAGGAGTCAAAATAGTAGTCCTTCGATGTCATTTCATCGATGGGCATTTTTTCTACCTTCTCCTTTTCAGTCTTATTTTCCATCTTGATGATATCTCCTGCTACAATCTGAATGAGAAAATGGTATTACTTTCTTGCCAAGTGACAGAAACAATAACTAATTTCTTTTTACATAATACATACATGCATATATATACAAATCTACATATATATATACTGGGAAAAAATATATATATATCTTACTGTCACTGTAATAAACAAAGTTATTACAAATTTAACAGTTTAAAATCAAGCTTAGTGTAATACCATACAGTGCTGGGTAATTCTTACTATGTGCCCAAGCCACAGCAATCTAAATTGTTGTGATTAGGCATGCTCGAGGGAAGGGTTGATGGGGGCCCTACCCTAAACCTCTGACATACTGTATTCACCTCAATATGCACAGCTAGATAGAGCCAAAACTTAGGAAGACTTATATGTGGTATTACCAATTGTGTCTGAGAATTATTCCTTGTACCAATGAACAAAAAATTTGTTCTTTACTCGGAATATCACCTCAAAATACACTACCTTAGTGCATCCATACCATAAAGATATACACGATGCTGTTAGACAGCAAGTGTCCCACACATACACCTGAACCAGGCTTTACAAAAAATTAAAGACTATTTTCAAAACTTCAATCCTTTTTGCTTGGATGAGCATATTGTAATTGCCTCCAATAGCAACACACCCTCCCAGAGCCTAAGTAAAAGAATTTTTTTTTAAATGTTTTTCTGTAGGAAATCCAACGATTTCATCAATTCTTGTCTTTGTTTCTTCTGCAAATGAATCGTTCAGGAGATCAAGTACCATTTTTCCATCGACAATCTTGATTTGATTGTCCCCTTTGTGGGGGAAGGCATGAAGTATATCAGGGAAATTATGGGGTAAAAGAGGCTTAAATAAGAATAATAACGATCAAAAATGTGTAAATCTAGCACAAAAAATGCTCAAAATGGGCCAATGAAACTGTGGACGTAACTGCTATCTTTGATACTATATGGACTGACACGCCAAAATTTTAAAATTCTACAGGAACCTAACCTACCTTTCAGCAAAACTATGGGAATTCATACATTCCAAACTCCCAAAAAAACATATTGACCAACAAACCAGCCTAATACAATAATTTAATCCACTAATAACGGATGTCCCACATATGAGACACCCGGAAAAATAAAGACCACCAGTGTGCCACTGTATCGGGATTCATGCTCCGACGCAGCAGCAGGCCACGGGCAGCGGGTGGGTAAAGTCCGGGGAAGCTGATTTTGTAACCGCCCGGAATCTTATTTTCGGCTTCAAAATATACCAGTGTTAATGGCTTAAGTTGCTGTGAATAGATATGCCCTTCGGGCACTGCCCAAAGGGATGGGTGATGGAGGGCTACGCCCCCAAAACCCTCCTGGACACATTCTCTTCACCTCGGTGTGTACAGCAAGAGAGCTGCATTCACACCATAATATAATAAACCAAATACCTTTAGATCTGGAAACATCATACTTTCGTTTGCTTTTTTCTACCGTCTGGATTGCTTCTATTTTAATCACTTTTTTAGGCATTTGGAGCTCTTGATGGGCCCAGCTATTAAACTGGGATGGTTATTCAAGTCTGATTTTTCTTCGTTGCTACTATTTGTCTTACAAATGACCCAGAATCAACACAACACAACGCAACATTCCTCACCAGCATTTTGTCACTGATTGGCCCACTTCTGTCAAACCTCGCAGCTGCGAATGAAAGTGTGAAACGCACGATGTGCAGACAAATCTAAACAAAGCCATAGATCAATCTTAAAACACGTTAATGAAGTATAACAACAAAATACTGTAAGAGCATAAATGTATAACAGCAGACACTGATAATTAGGCAAATATCCTCTTGACAAGCACATAGTAACACAAACTACTTAGGACATCACAGTGAGTTAAGTGGTCAGTGTTGCGTTATTCTTGACAAGGTAAACAAGATGCTGGACTTAGAATCTTAGCAGAGAATGTGCGTTATATTTTCATAATTTAGCTGTGACTATGAGGCCACTGCAGCTTAAGGGGACCGTTTGTCATTTTTCTGCAAAAATCTTTGGATTTGCCGATTTTGAGTTAACATTTTCGATGAGTTTCTGACTGCCCAAGTCTCTCCTGAAAATTTTGAGTCCCCCCTGCAATTTCTAAGGCAGTAGCTGCCACCTTAGATACACACGAAAATATTGTGAATTCTCGCATTACCTTGCCAATTGTGACATAACAAATACAGAAAAAAAATAAGGGCATCTTCAGAAAGTGCAAAAAATTCTCTAAAATATGAGACCAACATGCATTTTCTATGAATTGTCAAAAAAACTGGAAAAATATTGAAACTTAATTTTTTTTTTTTTTTTATTCAAAACAATTATATGCTGTTTTTAGAGTAGCTATTATTTTTATCTTGGGATCATATTTCGTCATTTTTATCCATCTGTAAAATATCTTGAACATAAGCAGACCCCCCCCCCCAAAAAAAAAATGGGGGCACTTTTGGCCTACATGAGTTACCCCTCACAGATGGATTTTTACCTACATTCTGTCAAAAGACTTTCTAGTCGATTATATTTTTGGAAAATCACTGAAAATAAAAAATAATATGTCTACACAAAAGGTCATCAAATACACGGTACTGATGTGTATAAACATACATGTACTATATACATATGTATGTATTCACAGATCAGTACTGTGAATTTGATGACCTTATAAAACAATATATATAAACAAGAGGTCATCAAATACTCGGTACTGATCTGTATATACAAACAAACAACCAGACACACAGAAGTAACAATATAAACAAACAAAAGGTCATGGCATACACGGAAATTATCTATATATCCTTACATACTTTATATACTTTATATACTCATTAGGGATTGTTGGAAGGCATACAACTGTTTAGAGAAAGAGGGCTATCAACATTTAACTGTAAACCATTCAAACAACTGTTTAGG